GTGTTGTGATTGGCTAAACTGCAGTGCACGTTGTCCGGAAAATTCACGCCCATTACCTTTACGGGCGAAGTTGCATGTGTTGTTCCTGTCAAATGTTAATAATGGTGTCGATACTGCCGTATTGGTATGAGCCAGAATCAGACTCAGAAAGCCGCGACGAAGAGAGGCAAGCAGAACCTCCCTAAAGACGGCTCTGAATGGTAATTTGCCTATTTTATACACTACTATACACACAAACAGCGTTGGCATTGATGATGATGATGATGATGATAATCTTTATTCAGGACACACAAGATGGTCCATAGCCCTATACAGTTTATGTTCTTGATCAAATCGAAAAATAACGCCATTAAGTATATACATGAAAAATACATTTACAACATTAGTACTTATTCAAAATCCAGGTCCAAAATGATTGTACGTGTTTGTCGTAGACACAAAATAGCATAACTAGTAGCCTAGTGGCTATAAAGCCAGCGCTGGCATTTGATAAAAACATTACGTCTGAAATACATGCAAATACATTTAAAACGAGTAAAGGGGATATATCATGCAAAATCCACTTTTTTTTTGCATTTTGTTGTATATTTGGAGTGTTTATAAGTACAGAAAAGATGAATTTATTCTCTTCAGGTGTTTCGTTTATATCTTTATATTCTGTTTTGGTCATATTTTTCAACCTGTTCAGATTTTTCTGTTCTCTATGTTTTTTGAACAATTACGTCACAGTATTTGCAGCGGACCTGCCAAATAAGGACATCGACTACCAGTCTAACACTTCGAGCAATCCGGCATTATTATTTCTCGCTCCGATTTTGTAGTCCAAACTCAATGATGCAGAAGTTACGAGAGGGCAAGTCAAAATGTTCGGTTGTTGGATGTACGTTAGTGACCTGAAGCACTTCAAGGATTCCCAGTTCAACAACCTCCGCCAGTATAAAGAAGGGTTTGCCGATCAACTTCGTCTGAATGAGGGGTAAATTCCTTCTATCAATTAGCTGCTGTGTTTTCTGATGCTTTTCTACACGTAAGTTATTATATTATTATTAATACAGATTTTTAGTGGTAAGATTAGACCGTAGTCATTTATCTTGTCAGTGTGCTTGTTTTAACAAGAGAAATAGTCGACTTTCACTAATAACACAAAATAGTTAACTTACACACCACGGCATCCGTATGGAGACGTTGTTCTGCAGGTTCGTCGTCATCTTTTTCAACTCGCTCGCTCTGGCTCGAATATGTAACGTTAAGGCTTGATGGACAAGTCGTTGACATTTTGTTAACGTGTGAATAAAAATGTTCTTTGAAGCTGTAGTAATCGTATATCTCTTATCAAACTACAGTAATGGCCGAACGTGGGGAGTTGAACCGACCGTGAACTCATTGACCTGGAGAGCGGGCGGGGAAAGACGCATCTCCTTTTTATTTAAAGGGGCCGCTTCGAAACGACTTGCTCACAGAAGCATATCAGAAAAGGGGCCTGTGGAGCTATAATAATTATGAATTCAGACCCAAGCATTGCAGTTATGCTTTATATAGACCACAAATGTACGATTTATAAATAAAAATTAGTGATTTAAAAGCATGATATGTACCCTTTAAGTCTTAGCCTACTTACAGGTTGTGGCCCAACAAGTGCTGCCTCTGGTTTTAAAGTCGGAACTGCTTCATGTTTTAGTAACAGTTTCTTGTTGAATCCGGTGTTGAACTCGTGGAGATTCTGGAAGCTGTCTTCCGTAAAATGCGCAGCACAGAGAGCTAAAGTACGATTGTAATTTTCAGGAACATTATTACAATGTTTGCAAACTACAGCATCCGTGGGAAGCCCGAACACAGAAGACAGCTGGGTGAACATAACACACTCGACGAGCCACGGAAATATAGCCAAGTTTTTTGCATATTCCGGAGGGAGGGTTGATGCAAATGTATGGGTTAGTGACGTCTAAAACCCGCTGTAGTCCCAGACGTTTTTGTAGTGCAACTTTGCAGATACTGTTCATGCACCAGCAGCAACATTACACACTATTTAAAATGAAAAAAGTCAAATCGCAATCAACCCCCCATTTAAAATCTTGTTAAGAAGAACCCTTAATTTTACAATCTTTAGCAAGGCTTAGAAATGAAATTGAATTCTGTTTTTCAATTCTTCAGACAACGTTTATTAAATCACGCCTCTGGTTGATGTGTGCGCACGCTCTTCCGGGAGAAGTGCCCATACAAGGAACTCCGCCCCTTATGATGTCATACAGGGGGGAAAAAATCACAAAGGAGTGTATTTGGCACAGAAATGGTCATACGTCCAATTCGTTTCTTGAAACTTTGGCCATTGTTAAGCATGAGCAGAGTTGTATAAAGTACTAGAAACCCGGACTTGAGTAAAAGTACAAGTGAAGAGTTCAGATGCAAAAGCCTCTAAGTGCCATTTGAAATTTTCTTTTAGAATGATCATTTTTATCAAGTTTGTATATTTAAGTTCAGTGATTTCACTTAAATGGCAATGATAATTACCTATTAATTGTTATTTAAGTGAAATTACTGAACTAAATATACAATTTTGATAAAAAATCACCATTAAAAAAGAAAATTTCAAATGGCATTTAGAGGCTTTTGCATCTGAACTCTTCAAGTGCTCTATCAAAAAAGTGCCTTGAGTAGAAGTTGAAGTGCTCTTTAAGCACCGCACTTAAGTAGAAGTACTAAAGTATTCAACATTTTTTGTACTTAAGTATTGCAAGTAGTTTATTTTAAAATTCACTACTTAAGTACTAAAAGTAAAAGTACAAGTATCGTGTAATTTAATTATCCAAAAAAGCAGTCAAAAGTTTGAACTAGCAATCAAATAAGGCGCTTTGCGGGATACAAATTTGCTTTGGCGGCCATTGCAGGACAACCCCTGCATTAGTTGTCAATGTGTGTGTCAATCAATACCATTACCCTATAAAACTGGCGTGTGATTTAGGCAGCATGAAAGCCAACTTGCAACGAATGATTCGTAAAATTTTTATAATTGTAACGAGTAACTAGCTGAACATTAAAAAAATATCGAAGTAAAAGTATTAAATTAATCGAAAATATCTACTGAAGTAAAAGTAGAAGTATGAGAAAAAAACAATACTCTAGTAGAGTACAGATACAGCATTTTGGTACTTAAGTAGTTCTACTTCGTTACTATACATCTCTGAGCATGAGAAACTCTTTAACAGTGGAAATAAGAGAGAATGTATAAAATATCATTACACATCCCCTTTAACCACTATTCAAAAGTATTGATCTCATGCTTGCAAAATCAGGAAACGGAATGTTCCCTTAAAATGGTCGTTTAGAATGTTCAGAAATAACGTTTTCTAAATGTTCTAAAAGAATCTTAGCAAATTGTACTTGGAACATGTTTACGTTGGGTCAAACTGGCACAGGCACCGGTTTCATAAAGTGACCCAGTTACTGTTATGTCTGGCTTTCAGACTAAACGTGTTACACAGGCCAGACACGGAGCCAATTTCTGCTGTGTGTTTCATTAAGTCAAACTGACTCAAGCTCAGATCAGTAGACCCAATTAGTTCATTTCCCATTTGTCATCCAGCACTAATGAATTAGCACTGGTTGGGACTGAGACAGGAAATGACCAGCTTTTACAGCTGCGCCTCAAGGGTCAACGTTTGATGGCTCTGTTAAAAAACTGCCTCATCCTTTCCGGAATTAGTTAAAAGCATTGATAATTAATTTGAAGGATTCTCAGTTGTATTGATCTAATGCATTTAACCCTCTGATGGTCCTCGGTCACTTCTGACCGAATAATTTTCTGTTTTTTTTTTAATTATTAAAAATCACAGCTTCATCGGAAGGTTATGATACTTGGTGACTTTTTTGGCAATTGGTTTGAGGTCATGATCTGAGCATGCTAAGTGGTCGTGAAAAAAATAGTCACACTCGTGGTCTTCGGTCAGAAATGACCGACCCATAGGAAATGAATGGAAAATTTACACACACAAAAAAACAAAAATTCTCTGAATTTTTGTTTGTACAATCTACAAATCAGCCACGATTCTTAAAAGAAGTTTACCGCAGTAAAGGGGTGACACTCTACAACATCAAGAGTGCAAAAAATGTACACACACACAAATACAAACACACTTTTATACACATACACACCAATAAATTCAGACTACCTAAAAATCTGTTTTGAATTTTTAAAAATCACAGCTTCATTGAAATGTTACGAAACTTGGTGATAGTTCTGGCATTAGGGATGTGAACACAAAATAAAATTGAGGTTATGATCCGAGCATGCTAAGTGGTCGTAAAAAAATTAGTCACGATTTTGGTCTTTGGTCAAATATGACCTCCATAGGAAATGAATGGGGAATTGACAAAAACACAAAAATTCACAATTTTTTATTTATTTATTTTTTTTTACAATTTTTTTAATAAGAAATAGTTTTTGAGATTGTTTCAATTATATATTCAAATCCACCAAAAAAAAAAAAATGTGTTCATAAACAGCTGGGGAATTCACATGCCTCTCTATAGAGAGCTGTACAGTGGTTACACCATGATTCTACGCTTTTTCTCTATACTGTAACCAGATGGTGCTAATTTTCTTCAAAAAAAATTTTTTTTCTGAAGGCCTAGACTCTATATTAAACAAAAATACTGCATTAATATTTAAAATAAATAAATAAATAATATATATATTGAACATATATTATATTATATATACATATATTTCCATTGAAAAAATAGACCATAAATATTGCATAAATATTAATAAATTCAATCAAATTGTCTCAAAATACTAAATTAAAAAGAATAAATATTATAGAACAAAAATAAATTGCATTGGTTTTACTGGGATGGAAGAAGTTTCATTTTTAGGTGTCCGGTCTCTTCTGACCGGGAAGGCCCAGGACGTGACTCATTAAGGAAGACCATCAGAGGGTTTAAAGGGTAAAAGCAGGAGCATCCCATTTATTGATTTTCTTTTTTCACCTCTTTCTCCTCAGGTCAGGAAGTGTCAAAAACCACTGGGATGAAATCTACGCTTTTGTTGAACATTTGGCTGAGAAATTCACCAGGTACTAAACTGAATGAATGGCGAATTCCAGTTGCATAAGGTTTCTAATGTGTGTTATAGATGATTTCACAAATTTGTAACCCTGTCGGGTCTGTTTTTCATCGTCTCACAGTCCTATGCTGCGAATGTCCTTCATCGTCTTCTCAACCAGAGGGACCACAATCATGAGACTCACAGAAAACAGGTGCAGAAAGACACGTTCTGTAGTGCTTCACATGTGTAGAATTGAAATTCTCATTTTTATTTTCATTTTTCAAAGGGAGACCATAAGAAAAGGCCTAAATGTTCTAAGACGAGAGATCCCAGGTGGAGATACATTTATGCATCTGGGTCTAGAAAAGGTAAAATGCTCAAATTAAAGCTGTTTTTCATTCGAATGTGCTCGGCTTCTTTTTAACGATGTTATCGAATCTCCGTTCACAGGCAAACGAGCAAATACACCAGGAAAACTTTGGTAGGCTTCGTTTTAAGACCACTGATGTTATTAAAGTTTGTTCTTACCAACAATGACGATCTTCGCTCCACTTTGTAGGAACTGCGAGTGTCATAATTGCATTGACGGACGGTGAGCTTCAAGAACATCAGCTGATAGCAGCTCAACAGGAGGTAACTAGCCTTCAGTCTTCATCATTTAGAAATCTAATGGCTTGTGTTTTCTAATTAAGAATGTTTGATATCGAACCAGGCTGCACGAGCTCGGGGATTGGGTGCAATCGTGTATTGTGTTGGAGTTAAAGACTTCAATGAAACACAGGTGAGGATGATGGCTTTTGTTGATGGTTTCCTAAACTTGTACACATGGGGCCGGATTTACCAAACAGGGCTAATTAGCGTGAGAACGTAATAGCGGCGACGGAAGTGGAAAGATCTGCGCGTGATCTAAATTAAAGAACACTTTATGTGCTTCTTTGGGGCGGTAAATAATGGCGCAAATTGTAAATAGCAGTAAATTGATGAGCACAAACATTAAAAAATAAACTTGCATGGTTCATTTCTTACTCTCCTACCATAAATTTTGCGTCTGAAAGTGAAACTCCTACATATGCATGTGCCAGAAATGTCAGATGCAAACATAACCATGTCCACGCCTTTTCAGTGGTAATTTATCATTTTATCAATTTTTATTATTTGTCTTACAGTAAGTAAATCCTGACAGTCGTTTTTTTAACGCTTGTGCAAGTTGCAAATGAATCTGGACTTAACAGTCAGTTATTGGAGTGCTTTTTCATTGCCTTTTTTCCTTATCTTATATTTTAGGAATCATCAGAAATTACTAAATCATTCGAAAGTTTACAATTTCGAAAGTATCATTCAAAAGTTTAAACGCCTTCCTGTGAAAACTGGATTTCGAAATGAAACATTGTGCTATAATTGAAACAGTGCTTTAAAACCTTTTATTTGGCTCAAATGTTGTGATATTAACTCTTGGATATACATATATTTTAGAGTCCAAATGATTTGGATATTTGGATAAAACAAAAATGTTTGCTAAGTTTACAGTAAACTTAAACTTCTATAACTTTTTTACACTTTCATTATTTGAAGCTGCTGCAATAATCTGAGTGTCTTCTTTAAATAGAGATCAGTTTTACCAAAGCATTCATGAATTACAACTATTAAAGGAGTAGTTCACTTTTGAAAAAGCTTTTGCTGATAATTTACTCACCCCCATGTCATCCAAGATGTCCATGTCTTTCTTTCTTCAGTCGAAAAGAAATTAAGGTTTTTGATGAAAACATTCCAGGATTTTTCTCCATATAATGGACTTCAATGGGGACCAAACGGTTCATGGTCCAAAAGACAGTTTCAGTACAAACTGCAAACTATTCAAAGGGCTTTAAACGATTCCAGACGATGAATAAGGGTCTTATCAAGCGAAAGGATTGCTCATTTCAAAAATAAATAACAAAGTCTAAGTTTTATAAGCTCAAATGCTCGCCTTGCTCTGCTCTGTGATGCACGTTCGTGACTCTCCTGTTCGAACTCGTTCATCAAAATGAATGAATCTTTTTCAGAGTCATTTGGTTCATTCAACGAACGAATTGACTCGAAAAAAGATTTGTTTGTTTTGATGAACGAGTTCGAACAGAAGAGTCACGAACGTGCATCACAGAGCAGAGCAAGGCGAGCATTTGAGATCATAAAACTTAAACATTTCTATTTATTTATTTTGAAATGGCCGATGGTTTCACTTGATAAGACCCTTATTCATCGTCTGGAATCGTTTAATGCCCTTTGAACAGTTTGCAGTTTGCATTGAAACTGTCTTTTGGACCTTGAACCGTTTGGTCCCCATTGAAGTCCATTATTTGGAGAAAAATCCTGGAATGTTTTCACCAAAAACCTTAATTTCTTTTCGACTGAAGAAAGAAAGACATGGACATCTTGGATGACATGGGGGTGAGTAAATTATCAGCAAAAGTTTTTTCAAAAGTGAACTACTCCTTTAAAGTCTATGCTCAAAAAGGAGGGAGGCAGTTAACAGATGAAACTAGTATCAATAAGTTCTTCCATCTAACAAACAATGTTGGAGACTCTTTCTAAACCCTCAATTGTGTACTTACCAGAGAATGTAATTCAGTATAAACCATGCACTTTATATGATGGAAACCAGTTGAAATCAACCATTCGCAACTAAATAAACATCTGTTTTTCCCGTTCTAGCTGGCTACCATTGCGGACACCAGTAAGCATGTGTTTCCGGTGTTGGGAGGATTCCAGGCACTGAGAGGAATGATTGACTCGGTAAACTTGAAGCTTGTGGAAGATTCATTAAGAATGCATTTTGTGACTCTTTCTTATTTAAAGGAGTAGTTCCGTTTAAAAAAAAAACTTTTGCTGATAATTTACTCACCCCCATGTCATCCAAGATGTCCATGTCTTTATGTCTTCAGTCGAAAAGAAATTAAGGTTTTTGATGAAAACATTCCAGGATTTTCTCCATATAATGGACTTCAATGGGGTCCAAACGGTTCAAGGTCCAAAAGACAGTTTCAGTGCAAACTGTTCAAAGGGCTTTAAACGATTCCAGACGTTGAATAAGGGTCTTTTCAAGCGAAACGATCGCTCATTTAAAAAAAATGGCTCAAAGCTCTAATGGTCGCATTGCTCTGTTCTGTGATGAGCGTTCGTGACTCTCCTGTTCGAACTCGAATCTTTTTTCGTGTCATTTGGTTCATTCAACGAACGAAATGAACGAGTTGACTCAGGAAAAGATTTGTTCATTTTAATAAACGAGTTCGAACAGGAGAGTCACGAGCATCACAGAACAGAGCAAGGCGACCATTTGAGCTTATAAAACTTAAACTTTGTTTTTTATTTATTAAATGAGCGATCGCTTCGCTTGATAAGACCCTTATTCATCATCTGGAATCGTTTAAAGCCCTTTGAACAGTTTGCAGTTTGCATTGAAACTGTCTTTTGGACCTTGAACTGTTTGGTTCCCATTGAAGTCCATTATATGGAGAAAATCCTGGAATGTTTTCATCAAAAATCTTAATTTCTTTTTCTTTTCATTTATCTTCATTTATGATCTCTATATGAACATTATGAGTTTTTGGTGAGAATGGAGGGACAGAAATCTTAATTTGTGTTCAGAAGATGATTTGGAAAGAAATGAAGGTGGAATCAATTATTTTTTGGGTGAACTTTCCCTTTAATGCTGAAGTGTGGATTTTTTTTTAAAAAAATCCAAGCTTAATATCCGCCTTATTTTTCAATGTAGAAGGAAGGTATTTCCTGTGAATGTGCCAGACTACCAATCATTACTGTAGCTACTATGGGTAAATAACTACAGTAGAAGAATAACAAAGTGCAGTAAATGGTAAAAATATTTGCACGACAAACCACCAGTGTGTTTATAATTACAACAAGACATGTAAATAATATAGTCAGAAATTGTTTGTTTGCAACATATCAAGCCAAAAATAACCAGAAGCAAATGAAACCGGAAGCCTTGCACATTTGTAAACTGATTCACCTGAAAGTTACACTGTGGTATTTTCCAAACATCAGAAGTCTGCGTTTCACAAGACCATCGGAAGATAAAGCTTATCGCAGAAACCAGAAATGAATGACACACTTTAGCTTTAATAATAATTGCTAAATGCATTTTGAACAAATTATTATAAAATAACACATTTTTTATTCACATGAAAATTGTTTTTCTTTTTTAGATCATCAAAAAATCTTGTATCGAGATCTTGGCAGCGGAGCCATCCAGTGTATGTGCAGGAGGTATATATTTACATAAAATAATAATAATGCCCTTCATTTCATGTTCCTTCCACATTCAATTAATAAGATCTGATCGTTTTGCTGTTGAAAATATGGATTCTTGTTAACTTACAGTGTCTGGCAGTGGATTATGTACAGTATGTGCCATAATAAATCTTTATGGTATATTGCAAGTCAATATATAATTTAACTCAGGAAAGACCTGTTCACACCAAGTGTGACGATCAGCAGCCGTGGTGCCCTCGAGAGCCACTAGAGGGCATCCTCTCCCCATGTTTGTTTCCCCATGGACTCTTTGTGTTTCATTATGTTCAGCTGTGTTTCATTATTGGTTATTGAGTTCCTTATTTAAGCCTGAGTTTTCCCTGTGTCCCTTGCGAAGTCTTGTTACCCTGTAAGCGTACAATTCCGAGCGTTATTCCCTGTTCTGTGTCTCCGTGTTTCCCTGGACTCTTGACCCTTGCCTGTTTCCTGGACTGCTCTCGAACCTGTGCTGCCTGCCTCGACCATTGCCTGTTTAGACCACGAGTTTCTGGATTGCCCCTTTGATTAAGTGTTTGCCTGTGTTCATGTCTGCTTGCTTTAATAAAGTGCTGCACATGGATCCGACCGTCTCTGTCCGTACGTTACAGAAGACTTCGCCAAACGAGGATCCAGCAGACTTTCTGCATCTATCCGCCGTGGTCAAGACCCGCTCTTCAATGCTAGCCTCTCATAGTTCTCAGCTGGCGAGACTAACTTCTCTCCTCGAGGAACTAGCTAGCTCCGTGCAATCATGGTCTCCGCAGAGCTCAAGCACAGCGGCTAATCAAGCCCAAACCCCCGCTGCACCTGTTCCACCGCAACCCAGTGTGAGTACCGCATGCAGTAATTCCAGTACGCCGTTTCCCGAGAAGTTTAATGGCTCACCTGAAGCGTGTGAAGGATTTCTGCAGCAGTGCAGCTGGTACATGAGTCATCAGCCCCAGTTATACGCCTCGGATATCGACCGCGTTTCTTTCATCTGCTCACTGTTAACTGGAAAGGCTCTGGAGTGGGCAGGCACGTTTTGGGAACCAGGTCGGATGTCGTTTCCTCCTTTCGACGTGTTTACCGCCCTGTTCAGAAAGGCTTTTGAACTCCCCGCAGAAAAGGAGGGTCTCGAGGAACTGCTCTTTTCCCTGCGCCGGGGAGTTTCGTATGCGGCGGATTTCTCTCACTCACTCCGCACGCAGCATAAGCCTCAGCTCGCTAAACTGTTTGATCCTCCCTTAAGGACCGTCAGAGGAGCTTCTAAGCATATCGTTCCTGCCAAAACCACTCATGTCGGACCCCTCGAGCCCGTATCCCGCACTAGCCCTGTTAAAAGTGCTGTTCCTAAGACAGCGGAGGTGTCGCGGGTCGAACCGGAGTTTGAGCGCGTGCCAGCCGACTCGAGTGAGTCAAGTGCCGAGCTGAGTGAATCAAGTGAGTCAAATAGCGAGCTGAGTGAATCGAGTGCCGAGTCAAGTGAGTCAAGTGCTGAGCCGAGTGAATCAAGTGTGTCCAGTGTTGAATTTAGTCTGTCCAGTGAGTCTTCAGTTCAAGTATTTGAATCTCCTCTTCAAGTGAGCGCTGCATCTCCTCTTCAAGTGAGCGCTGCATCTCCTCTTCAAGTGAGCGCTGCATCTCCTCTTCAAGTGAGCGCTGCATCTCCTCTTCAAGTGAGCGCTGCATCTCCTCTTCAAGTGAGCGCTGCATCTCCTCTTCAAGTGAGCGCTGCATCTCCAGTTCAAGTGAGTGAGTTGTCCAGCCAAGCGAGTGTGTCTAGCCCTGTGACGCGCCGCCGCAGGAGGAGAAGGAGGACTCGTTTGGTTCGCCAGGCCCCGGTGAGCGTGCCCAGACTCCTCGCCCTGCCGGCCCCGCCTCTGCGCCTCACCCTGCCGGCCCCGCCTCTGCGCCTCGCCCTGCCGGCCCCGCCTCTGCGCCTCGCCCTGCCGGCCCCGCCTCTGCGCCTCGCCCTGCCGGCCCCGCCTCTGCGCCTCGCTCTGCCGGCCCCGCCTCTGCGCCTCGCTCTGCCGGCCCCGCCTCTGCGCCTCGCTCTGCCGGCCCCGCCTCTGCGCCTCGCTCTGCCTGCACCCTTCAAGCTCCGGGAGGCCTTTCCTGTACCCGTTCACCACCCAGAGGTTCCTCCTGGGAATTTCCCCAAGTATTTTTTGGGGGGGGGCAGTAGGTACTCTGTGGGGGCCATGGAGGTGATCCTGACATGGACCTCTGAGTCCGTGAGGGCCATGGAGGCGAGGCTGTCATGGACCTCGCCTGTGTCTGCTCCGCCCTGGCCGCCATCACGTCCTGCTCCTTCCTGGTCACCCACGCTCCACGGCCCCAGGCCTCTCCATGTGCCTGGCCTCCTGCCTCTCCATGGGCCTGGCCCTCCATCCCAGCCCCCGTTGACCTCCCCCCGGAGCTCTTAGGAGCGTCTGGAAGCCGCTCCTTAGAGGGGGGGTTATGTGACGATCAGCAGCCGTGGTGCCCTCGAGAGCCACTAGAGGGCATCCTCTCCCCATGTTTGTTTCCCCATGGACTCTTTGTGTTTCATTATGTTCAGCTGTGTTTCATTATTGGTTATTGAGTTCCTTATTTAAGCCTGAGTTTTCCCTGTGTCCCTTGCGAAGTCTTGTTACCCTGTAAGCGTACAATTCCGAGCGTTATTCCCTGTTCTGTGTCTCCGTGTTTCCCTGGACTCTTGACCCTTGCCTGTTTCCTGGACTGCTCTCGAACCTGTGCTGCCTGCCTCGACCATTGCCTGTTTAGACCACGAGTTTCTGGATTGCCCCTTTGATTAAGTGTTTGCCTGTGTTCATGTCTGCTTGCTTTAATAAAGTGCTGCACATGGATCCGACCGTCTCTGTCCGTACGTTACACCAAGGACTAAAACTAAAGATATTGTTTTAAAGGAGTAGTTCACTTTAAAAACAAACTTTTGCTGATAATTTACTCACCCCCATGTCATCCAAGATGTCCACGTCTTTCTTTCTTCAGTCTGAAAGAAATTAAGTTTTTTTGATAAAAACATTATAGGATTTTTCTCCATAATGGACTTCAATGGGGTCCAAACGGTTCAAGGTCCAAAAGACAGTTTCAGTGCAAACTACAAACTGTTCAAAGGGCTTTAAATAATTCCAGACGATGAATAAGGGTCTTATCAAGTGAAACGATCGCTCATTTAAAAAATAAATAACAAAGTTTACGTTTTATAAGCTCAAATGATCGCCTTGCTCTGTTCTGTGATGCGCGTTTGTGACTCTCCTGTTCGAACTCGTTCATCAAAATGAACAAATCTTTTTTCATGTCATTTGGTTCATTCAATGAACGAAATGAACGAGTTGACTCGTGAAAAAATTTGTTCATTTTGATGAACGAGTTCGAACAGGAGAGTCACAAACGCGCATCACAGAACAGAGCAAGGCGCTCATTTGAGCTTATAAAACTTAAACTTTATTATTTATTTTTTAAATGAGCGATCGTTTCGCTTGATAAGACCCTTATTCTGGAATCGTTTAAAGTCCTTTGAACAGTTTGCACTTTGCACTGAAAATGTCTTTTGGACCTTGAACCGTTTGGACCCCATTGAAGTCCATTATATGGAGAAAAATCTTGGAATGTTTTCATCAAAAACCTTAATTTCTTTTCGACTGAAGACATAAAGACATGGACATCTTGGATGACATGGGGGTGAGTAAATTATCAGCAAAAGTTTTTTTAAAAAGTGAACTACTCCTTTAAAAATCATTCCAGATGTAAAATAATAGCAGTGTTCACACACACCACAACTATAACGATAACGGCACAACCTGAATCACTTTCAGAACAATTGTTTCCAGCAAATGAGGGATAAAAGCATTGACAGCCAATCAGAATCAATCCTGAGCATTTAAAGCGGCAGATCTTATCTTTCTTGGTATGTTGCACACATTTACTGTATGTGTCATCAAATAAATAATTACTGGAATTGTTGTAAATAAATATAAGCACAATATAAGCAATTCCAGTGTTGAACTTGACAGTCTGTGAGATGCATTTACCCAAGAGGACAATTCATTGTGGTTTTATAGTACCCAGCATTACTTGCGCCGCTTGGCCCATGCTGAAAACACAGCGAAGTTGATATTTTTGTGGGGAAATGGTGTAATGAAATGTCTTTTGTGAAGATTTATCACTCTTTTGTTGAGCAGCAACTGTGGGAATCTGTGTTTCAGAGTCTTTTCAAGTGGTGGTGAGAGGGAACGGCTTTCGGCACGCCAGAAACATAGACCAGGTCCTGTGCAGCTTCAAAATAAACGACACCGTCACGCTCAGTGAGTGTAAACATTCCCACAGAGTTGGAGCACTTTCTCGTTTCTCATCAACATAGTTGCATTTAATCTGCTTTACTAAGCTTTTACTCTCCGTATAACAGATGAGAAGCCTGCGACCGTCGAGGACACGTTCTTGCTGTGCCCTGCGCCTGTTATAGATGAAGTGGGAAAGTAAGTGAGAGGCCGATGGACGGGTCTGCCATGCATTAGCTCGTGTTTATGATCGCAGTCAGAGGTCACATTCCTCTTCCTTACGCAGCTCGCTGTTTTGTCCTGTTGATCCAGTGTTTTCCAGAAACTGCCTGATTTCATGAGTTCACAGAATCAAAGCCTGAGCTTCAGATGATGTCAGAGGCTCTGAGGAGCCGTTAAAGCAGATCGCTTTCAGAAATCACACCCACTCTCGGCTTTTCTTTCGTCTTTTTCATCTCCATTATTTCCTTACTGCGCCCCTAGACCTCTCTCTCCCACTTGTTGCAGTTTTCTTGAGTTTTGTTATGTATTCATATATTTATGTTCTTCATAGACAAGGTTTTCTAAGGAAATATAGTTATACAAGGACATAATAATACAATACAGGGCTGCACTAAAATTTAAAATCTGGTTGATATTGATGAATTGATAAATATATTTATATTGTATGGCAGATGTGCAGAAAATGTCAAAACACTAAATATTAAAAGCTTAGTGAATTTAGCCATCACAATATCATAATCTACAATATACTAAGGAGAAAATCATTTTGAGATCTGCTAAAGATTGCAATTAAAAGTGTCATAATAAATTATTAATATAAATAAGTAATAATTATCATATATTACCTTTAAATTAGTATTATTTGGTGGCAGAAATAATGTTAATGTGAAATTACACAATTAAAGGGATAGTTCACTTTGAAATTAATTTTTGGTATGTTTTAGCTTACCTCAAGGGCATCCAAGATGTAGGTGTCTTTGTTTCCACAGTAGTTTTAGTTTTGATATTTTTAGGTCAAACCGTTCTTGTCTGTCAGTCATATAATGGAGGTCTATGGTCACCACCTCAAAGAGCATGCACAGAGAAGTCCAAATTAAACATGATTTAACGACTCGTAAATGTAAGTACACATTGATGGCCTAAAACACGAAACGAGCGGTTTGTGTGAGAAAACGAACAGTATTTATATCGTTTTTACCTCTTGTAACCACAGCCACGTCCAAGTGAAAAAATGTTGTCTGTTGATACATCGAAATCATCTTCCATTGCGATTTCCTGTATATCTAAATATGTTTAAATCTTCACAGTGAAGGGCAACACTTCAGAAATCTCTGTGTAAGCAATGAGTGACGTACACGTGCGAGAGATCACTTCCGGCGTTTTCCAGCGCTTGCTGTACATATTTACATATCCATCTAAACGTCGCTTTTGACGAAGAGAACTCCGCTGTGAGTATATCTGGGTTTTAGTAATAATTGTCTGTCAGAAATCAGGCTGTTTATCAGTGTTTTTGCACAGAGGAATGTGAACCTCAGCTAAAGTTGATGTTCTTCATCAGGGAGAAATGACTTATCTGTCAGAAGAGCAGGCTTAACCTCTGTCTGTTCAGACACAAACCTCGGCGGGAATGCTGAACATTTGGAATGCTGTTTTTATCAAATGTTTGAGACACTAGACAGCTGACTACAACAAAAGTTAACCAGCACCCTGCAAAGCGCTGTACGGGTGCCAATTATGGTCTGGAAGGCATTTAACACAAACTAAAGATCTCAAAAATGTCACAAAAATGTTGTCTTTGGCACATATGCCTGATGTCTTTCTAGTCTAAATGGTGTCTTGTGTGTGTTTTCTTTCTGCTTTTATGGGTACTTCTGTGCAGTGTTAAAGGGTTTGCCAGCTTTCAAAATGACAAATATGGGTATGAAAATGTATGTTTTGGTGTTTGCGCTCCAGGGTGGTGTACCTGCAAGTCAGCATGAACGAGGGTCTGTCGTTTATCACCAGCTCCGTGCACATAACCACAACAGAGTGTGTAAGTCTGACCGCAAACACACACCCAGACAAACTACTATCTACAAAATGGAAATCAATTTTGAGATTTGCTTAAGATTACAAATAAAAGTGCTAATAAATGATTAGTGTTGTAAAATATTACCTTTAAATTAGTATTAAATGGTGGCAAACATGTACACAATTAAAGGAGTAGTTCACTTTTAAAAAACACTTTTGCTGATAATTTACTCACCCCCATGTCATCCAAGATGTCCATGTCTTTCTTTCTTCAGTCGAAAAGAAATTCAGGTTTTTGATGAAAACATTCCAGGATTTTCTGCATATAATGGACTTCAATGGGGACCAAATGGTTCAAGGTCCAAATGAGAGTTTCAGTGCAGCTTCAAAGGGCTTTAAACGACACCAGACGATGAATAAGGGTCTTATCAAGTGAAAAGATCGCTCATTTCAAAAATAAATTAATAAGTTTAAGTTTTATAAGCACAAATGCTCGCCTTGCTCTGTTCTGTGATGCGCGTTCGTGACTCTCCTGTTCGAACTCGTTCATCAAAATGAACGAATCTTTTTTCGAGTCATTTGGAACGATTCGTTCCTTTTGAGTAAATGAGTAAATTATCAGCAAAAGTTTTTTTAAAAGTGAACATAGGTGTCAATACTATTAGATTTTCTTTGCATTGGCTGATATCAGTATGTTGTGCATCCCTAGTTGAATTTATTAATAAAAATTCTTCCAAACCTCTCATCTAATCAGAATTAAAACCTTTTTTTCTTCTAATAGCTCCCTTTATACTCTCATGATCCCTTTAGCTCTTCACGTAATAAATGATCTTCTTTAAATGCTGTGATCTGTCCCAAACCCAAATCACCTCATACAATTATGGCATTAGTGAATGTTTTTGGGTGTTTTCTCCTCCATTGTAGTCTTGGGTTTTCTTAAGGGAACGAACACGTCACAATATTCCTCATTTAATTCAATAATTCATAATAAAGGGGCGGGGCCTGGTTGAGTTTATTAGTTGTGTGTTAAACTGGCGGTTATGGTAAGGGGCATTTCCCAAACACACTTAACGCGGTTGACCAATCACAACACACTGATCCAGCCAACCAATCAGAGCACAGTGTGCTTTTCAGAAGGAGGGGCTTCATAGAGACAGGAACTAAACAGAGCGTTACTGACAGAAGAAAAATAGTTTTTTAAGCATTCAAGGATTCTAGTAGAGCCAAAAACCTAAATCAAGACTTTGTAAGTGTATAATAGGTCCCCTTTAATTATATATGATCATAATGATGGTGCATTGTAATCATTGGAAAGTTATGTACAATAAATGGGTGGTCTTTGACGTCGTAACCCCTTATTTTTATAGTATTCTCCCCTCCTCACGTTTAGGTCGTCCCCCATCATCATTTTCTCTTCACAACACACACCATCCCCCCAATAACACACAGATCAAGGGCCAAACCGCAGGGGTTCAGCACGTCCCCAGACAAGAGCCCCGAAAAAGATCCTGTCTCGGACTCTCACTGAGCCGGCTTCTTGCCCGCAACCACAAAATAACTTTTCATGAAGCATTTCTTCTCTAAATACTTTTTTAAAAAGCAGTGTGCTCTTCCCATTCTTTTCCCATTACATACTTTTTAACTGTGAGAATGCTCACTTTTTGGTACACTAAAAAATATGCTGGGTTGTTTCAACCCAAATTTGTGTCAGCTATGGACAAACCCAAATATTGGGTTAAAAATGTAATAAAAAAAATGTACAGTTGAAAGTGAAAGTTGAAGTTGGGTTCAAATTGTAAATTACATTTATAACCCAACATTTTGGTTTGTCCGTATTTGACCCAAATTTGGGTTGAAACATCCCAGCATTGTTTAGAGTATAGTCATAGCTTGTCTATTGATGGAAATGTCCTGTAGATTTAGTAAATATTTTGAGATGTTCATATATTTAATGCCGTTTTATTTATTTATTTTTCGTAAATAATATAAAAAAATTATTTGTCATAGAATATTAAATATTTTTACACAATTTTACTGACAAAAATTGTGTATTTTTAAAAATATTTAAACACTATTTCATCCTGTCAAATTTCAGACCATTTTACATTTTCATGAAAAAAAGCTGGAATTTTTTTTTGAAAATATTTAAACATTATTTCATCATGTCAAATTCGTTAATTTTACACAGTTTTACTGACAAAAATGGTTTATTTTTGATAATATTATTTTATGTATTCATTTAATATTATTAATTTATTCATGTAATGTAATATTTATTCATTTATTAATGTAATAAAAACATAAATCCAATCAAACTATGTTATTTAGTCAACAACGTATCATATCTTTTCATTGACAAAATTAAAATATTGGTTATTGAAGTAACAAAGTATAAATCTCAAAATAACGATAAGTCGATATTTTTTTGTTAGTCAAGTATATTTTTGATAATATTATTTTATTTACTCATTTTAATATTATTAATTTATTCATGTAATGTAATATTTATTCATTTATTAATGTAATAAAAACATAAATCCAATCAAACTATGTTATTTAGTCAACAACGTGTCATATCTTTTCATTGACAAAATTCAAATATTTATTCTTGAAGTAACAAAGTATAAATCTCAAAATAACGATAAGTCGATATTGTTTTTGTTAGTAAAGTATAAAA